ATACACGGAGAGAAATTTTTGATAAAAATTATCCTACCATTCTATAAAAGTGTATCATGAGTCATCGTTTCCTCATTTCTATCCCGACATTTAGTAAAAATTAATATATGATGATCAAATTTTATTTTACGTTTGAAAAATTTTATCCTGACGCATAAGAAATTTTTCATCAAGCTGTGACGAAAAGTGAACTTTTCGGCACGCTCCGCGTGCCTAAAAGTCCAATTTCCGCCACATTGTGATGAAAAATATTGTTCGTAACTCGTGAAAAAATGTTTTTTAGCTCGTGGGATTATATCACTCACCTTCGGCTCGTGATATAAACCTCCCACTCGCCAAAAAACACTTTTTTGCACTCGTTACGAAATAGTATATTTCGTAACGAGTTACGAAATAGTATATTTCGTAACGAGTTAAAAAACATTTTTTCACGAGTTACGAACAATATTTTTCATCACAATGTGGCGGAAATTGGACTTTTAGGCACGCGGAGCGTGCCGAAAAGTTCACTTTTCGTCACAGCGTGATGAAATATACTATTTCATCACAATGTGTGGAAAAGGGATGTTTTAGCCACGCGAAGCGTGCCTAAAAAGTTACTTTTTCGCACAGCGTGATGAAAAAAGAATTCCACCGCTCATTGCATCATTTCATTGATCACCCCACCCGATAACACCGTTTAAACAGTTAACATAAAGAGATGCACAAATCGCATGCCCAATATAGTCATGAATCGGCGGGGGGGGAAGAACCTCCTGCACTTTGTTGTAATACGTATTACCAGTGGTATGGTCAAAAACAAGCAGAGCGATGAGGAGAACAACTGGCCTCGGTTGGCTTGTCTCGTCAGTGCCTAGCGTACCACATAGTACGCGCTCGTAGTATCCGTAGTATTCCCGTCAGTTCCCGTCAGCTCCGGGTGAGAGGGAGGGGAGCCTCACCTTCCGTCCATTTCCCCCTCAATGGCTTGGAGTAATATCTTCCCTCTCTACCTTTTCACCTTTCTCTCCCCCTCCCCCCCTCCTCCCTCACGTAACACGCAAGCCACGCCCATTCAGCGGCAGCCATCATGTCAATTTCTCTCCTTTTCCCCTCGCATGCACCACTATAGCCGTCTCTCGTCTGATGTCACATTGGCGCTACCGCTTCAAAAGCAGTGGTTTAGATAAATATCCGAGCAGACATCCCAGCTGGCACTGTTATAACCAGTAGTAAACCTTACTCCACTGCACACCGAACTGCTAATATTACGATTATGTTGGAGAACTAGTCTTTGAACGCTAGAACCAGAATGGATGATATTCCAGTGCACACGGGGTTTCATAATAAATGAAGAGGAGAAGAGTGGAAAGACATTTGGAGTAAAAAGAATGAAAGGAAAGCTCGCAAATGCAGGCTTGGCAGGAGACGACCATGGATTATGCTTTTTCTCTATTTTCAGGCTTTTGATGTTGTTGGTTCGATGGTGGGATAAAAATGAACGAATGTCACAGGAATAACTTCTTTAACTGAGAAGGGGGCATCAGTATTCAATCAGTCGACGATATTTTTCGGACGAGAAATCGCTGCTCTTCGGCATTTTTGACTTTTACGTTTTATGTTGTTACGTTTATGTTTTCACAAGATCTATGCGCGCGCTGATCTATTCATTTGTTGAAGTGAAGAAATGGAATTCATTGAATTTCATTTTCTCATGAATACCTTATAAATATTGGTAATGAATCAAAGAGAATTCGACTAATGATTGAAGTGAATAGCGAAGTAGAGTAAAGAATCTACAAAAATAAAGTCAGTAGCGAAGTGGTAAAACATGTCAATTTTGACTGTTGACCAGTTTTCGATGAATATCTCGGAATCTAAGGGAGATGGCAAAATTTTCGTTATAACCTTTTTTGTAGAGGAGACTGAGAGCTACAACAAATGTAATTACGAAAATTTCGCTATCTCTCTCAGATTCGGAAATATTCCTCGAAAACTCAACTGGGAGATGAGTCGACTTGAACCGTTTTACCACTTCGCTTCTGAAATGTTGGAATGAACATCTAAAATCATCCTGGGGGCATCCTAATCGGTACACAATAAGAGATGATGTATTCAGCTGAAGAGTAGTTCTTCATATTAGTCGTCGTCGTTATTTTCAACGATTCGCTGTTTACAACCAGACGAACATTAACTCAGTATCGAATTATGATATTACGGCAGAGAGAAAGGTCAGTGTAATGAGCGTTGTCGTTTGCTTTCAGCTCAAAGCCCGTGCTGTGACGACTTGGAGGCACGGGGGCGATCACGGAAACGAGGTTTCAGTATTCTGCTGGTGAGAATGGTGAACCGTGAACTGGGGATCATTGCCACTGATCGCCGGGGATCGGTTATGGACGATTTTCTCTCTCTTTATTATCCAAAGGAACTGTAGGCCAAATGTCTACTGCTGTAAAGGGAATGAGGGAGTAGATAAAATGAAAAGATAGTCCCTTTTGTTCGAAAGATTCCTAGTTGTACGACATCGAAGAATAATTAGTATTCCTCTTCCGAATGCGATGGGATGACTACAATTCCTTGAAGAGTTTTCCAGAGATTGTCCACGTCGGACAATAAAAATTGTGGATTCAATTCCATTTTCAGTTCTTGAAAATTACCAATCTCACAATTTTACTTGATTTTCTCGGGAGGAAGTACGTCTGGAAGACACGATATCTAGGGAGGAAAATCCTGACGAAGGAATAAGAAATACATCTGTAAATATTGCAATGATAGTATGGAGGAAACGATTGAAACTCACTTCAGTGAAATAACGCAATTACTTTTGAAAAAAAAAAAAGCAAATTGAAAAGTAAATAGAGTCATCTCCTCTATACATCGTCGGATCTTCTGTATATACATGCATATATACATATATTAACTGTATCCTGTATTATTACTGTATTATGCGCCCGGACTAATGAAAGAAACAAGAAGACATGAACGACATCAATTTGAATGAGAAATATTTATGATACGTTTTTTTTACAAAACTAAAAAAGATGACGCTTATAAAATGGGTCTTCATTCCATACGATGAATTTGAATTAATCAACGCTCTTAGAGAGTATTCATCATCAGACTTCATCATGAGAATAATGTCACTTTGATAGAGAGTCGTAACCATTGACATTGATGGACGGATGATAATTGATTCAGTAACAATCGTGATCTCTGTGCTTCTCCTTCTCTGACGCAAAACAGTAATGGCATGGTTTCGTACGTTATACAATAATTTTATGACGAAATAGAACTTGAATGCAATCCTCCCTGCCCCAGATTAAAAATCAATAAAAGAGAATAAAATACGTGAAATACGCTTTTGATGTGATTATGCTACACGTATTCATATAGGAGTATAATAAACATAAGTAGAGGAACAAAAAAAAAGGTATGCGACCATGTCGCAATGGAATTTTTGCCATTTGAATCAAAGTAGGTCATTTGTAAGACTAAAACCTTTGTTTCCGAAATTTTGATATATCGAGGGTGAATATCATTGGACTATGGGTGATTATATTTTGTATAATATCGGTTGATTTGAATCTCACGCGAAGGATATTCGCATTTCCATCCAAAAATATTAATTAGTATTTGCATAATTCAGGTACTGATCAATCTGTTTATTGAGAAATACAGAATTGTGAAGTTTAATCAAGGTTAACTGTACAAAATTATACTCAAGATGTAAAATTCATTTATTTTTTATAAATAATGGAAGGGGATAGGAGTAAAAATTACAACTGAAGCTCAATGAATTTACCAGCCTCTCTGAGAGGAGAAGAGTTGAACAAATGAGGGCGAACGAGGAGAAGAGAGTTATACACTGAGAGAAAACAAACTTATTTTCTCAAGCAAGTTTTGTTTGAACCAACAAAATCGGCAAACAAGTTGAAAATTGGTACACGGAGAGAAATATTCAAGAAAAATTACGGAACATTTCACGTAATCAGAAAATTCTTGGATGTTTAAGAATTTTTATGAAAAGTTCAGGAAAAATTACGGAACGTGTTAAAATCTCCCCCTCACGGTGACTCATGGCTAGCCGTGAGGCGTCGGACGGATGAGTAATTTTTACGGAACAGATCGTAGCATTTACTTGACGATTGACACTTTTTATTGAATTTTACTTCGCTCCCAGATTACGTTTCGAAACGTAATTTTTACGTCTTTTTTCTGGTAATTTTTATTGAATATTTCTCTCCGTGTAAACAAGTAAAATCTAGTGCTGACCGTTTGACGACTGTCCTGAGGTGAAAAAATTTCTCGCAAAAATAGATTTAGTTGTTCCAAAAAATGTGTATTCTTCGGTATTCGATGCTCCCATTGGCATAAAATATTTCTTGATCTTCCCTTTATGAGAAATATTTCCATTCTGAGCCTCTTGAGTCGAACATTCTGTTGCTGCAGAAAGCAGAGCGATTATTCCCGTTTGAAAGGTTCGAATTCGTTTGAATTTCGAAAAGATTTGATTGAGAACTTGTTTGTTTTTCTCTTAGCGTAACGTGAAAAACGTACGTGTCTCGATCTTGTAACACGTTGAGTCTCATCACCCACTGTGATAGGACCATTTATCATTCTTATTTAATAAAGATGTAGCTATTCACTTTGGAACCCATAAATAGGCCATTTTCATATCGAGTAAACATGGTTCATCCTGCGTAGGTGCTCGATAAAGCGATTCTACCTGTCCTTAGTTAAACTTTCTAAGGAGAATAATGTCGAAAATCTTGTTTCCCCATCTGTATGTAATTGTAGCACTGTCCACTCGTTTCAATTTCCAGTGAATTTGAAATCCAAACTTCTGTAACGATTGACGAGATAATCCTCGATGAGAGTTGGGGATTCCGTCTGCAATCGAATTCGCACGTAATTGTGAAAAAGAAAACTGTAGGAATTTCATGTAATAATCCTCTGCGATTAAGTCGTGAAGTTAATCCTCTCGAGTATTATAAATGAGAAGAGTGATTGTAACGACACTGAATTTTTAAGAATGATTGGAACAGATAACTGGGAAGCACAGAGGAATACCATATATTGATGAAAATTGATCTCAATGTATAGCGAGATAAAATGATGAGGGGGCAAGGGAGGTTACAAAACATGTGAAAATATCCGATATTGAACCAAAATTACCAATAATAAAAGAAATGTCTATCTGACTGACAATATTGTTCAATAGTGTGCTCAATGTAAAATCCCTGAAAGTAAAGGATTTAAAATTCCACCTTTCAAACCCCTGACAGACTATTTTCACAGATTTTTGTGGATCAATTTTGCTGTTCAATCGAATTGGAGGACGAGAAATATCAGTGATGATCCATATTTCGTTAAACAGCACGATGAATGAACGAATGGGGATACTCAACACATTTAAGGACGTTTATCCAAAATCGCAAGTATTAAAAAAAAAATGATTTTTTTTTCAACTGAGAGATGAAGTTATTCCCTTTATCTTGATCAAAATTTCAATCTGTCAATCCACGTTCATTATTTAGGAATGGAGTGGACAAAATGCACCAGACGCATGCGCTAACATGCGCTTATATGGGACCGTATCTTTCAAATATTTCCTTTTTTTGCGCGGGTACCCCAAATTTTTTTTTAGCCATTCGATTCAGTATAGTTTTGCACATTATCTTCTATTTTTATTTCTATTTTTAGAGTCTTATAGTAGGTGAATTATAAATTTCAACATAAATCCCATAAGAGTCCGTTTATGAGGAAAAATTTGTTTATTTATTTCTGGCGAGACTAGGGCGATTAATTTTTTTAACTTCAAAGAAGTTAGTTTCATATGTTCTGCTAGCAGCTAAAAAAATTATAGAATTTTGCTTGAACATGAAAAATAAGATTTGCTGAAAATGGCTAAACATCCTTAACCCTTCGTTACTCGCGTGAATTTTCTCTAATGAGGGGCTTTGATCGTGGTTAGAAATGGCAGAATATACTTCTAGCCAAAATGAATGAGGCATGCAAATTTTTTCATATTTTTTTAATGAGTTTTTTCGGAAGTTATACTAAAAAATAGAATTCCACCGGCGCGGAGATTACTATGAGTTTCAAAAGTCGCGGGCTATTGAAATGCGATGTCTTATACATTAAAGATCGATTATATATGTCTAAAAATGGATAATTAGTGCAACCAAATTAATTGTTTATTGTTCGTTTACCCCGCAGACGCTTAAAATGTTAAAAATAGTTCAGGGCCTCCAATTTTTGAACTACAAAGGTTTCTTTGCTTTCAAAATTTTTGAAAAAATATCTGCAATGACAATTACGAATTAGTTGTTTGAAATTCAACTCCTACACAGCGAAACGAACAATAAACAATCAATTTTTTTGCACTGATTATTAGTTTTTAGACGTATATTATCGATCTTCAAAGTATGAGAAATCTCATTCCGATCGCCCGCAACTTTTCAAACTCCTAGTAGTCTCCCCTTTAGTAGACATGGAGTTGGATGATGTTCGATGCACTAGATACTCCAAAGAATACTCGTTTCAATTCCCTTTATGCCCGAATTTTATTGCTGCTTATCGCATTCACAGTAGATAATTCATAAGATGCTGAGGGAAACGTACAAATAGCCTAGGTATGTTATTACGTCTTCTACAGCGGATGTTCCTAATTTTCCAGTTTATTTTCATCAAAATCGATAGAAGCCCAGAATTTTTCCTCGGCAAAATTTGAACTCGACATCGCTTCCAATCCCTCAGGCCCTGAAATGTGGAGATAGTCCAGATACTCGTTTGATGGGTCCACTCGGGGCCAGTCAATTCCAACGGAGGGCACTCTGAAATCCAAAAAATTATGACCGAATTTATTGGAATTAACTTATTGCAAACATACCCTTTCCGCATGAAAGATTCTATGATGTTCAAGAGAATGTTTTGCACGCCTAATGTCGGTTGATCGGTGATAGCTTTTAAGCCTGAGTCGGATATAAATAAAAATACATCATCACTGTGGCTCACACCTAAAAAACGGAATGAAAACGGTACCAAAAATTTGACTCATCAAACCAGTAGCGAAGCGTAAACCGGATGAAATTCGCTCGTTTCGAGGCTTACCATAGTTTCCAGTCACATGAAATAAATCGGTCAAACTGATTTTCGACCTGTAACTGTAATAGTAGAACCAAACAGAGCTGCGATTGGCTTTTGCCATTAGCCTGGCACCAAGTGGCGAGAATGATCGATCCCCGTGCATGTGAATAAGTTGCTGAGCCGTTGCAATTTCAATTTTATCACTGCCGAAATAATGTTTTCTAATGGTTGCCGCCACTTGAGCATGTTTCGACTGCGGGATAGTGAAGTTGAAGTCGAGTAAATGAGGCGCGATTTCCTCCCATTTTTTATCCAACTCGGCCATTAACTCCTTCTTCTCGAGAAATTCCGCGACAGGAAAGAGTCCTTCCTCGGAGACGACGCTCGACGTCCAGGGAACATCAGCGGCATCTCCACTGGCGATGATCTCCACAGGTGATCGATCGATGAATGGCTCCGGTGAGTTTTTCTCCACTACTGGGCCGAATGGAACGTCCGGATTGAACAACCATGGCTGGGGTAGTATAGAATTAAGGAGAGACTACTATGAGTTTTTAAAGTCGGGGGCTATTGGAGTGAGATTTGTCATGAGAGAAAATCTCGTCAGAGTGACATTGAATCGGATTTAGAGACAAAATCGAGGGGCTACTCACTCCATAATTGAGTGACACCATGATTTCGAAATGAAGTCGATTTCGGGTGATTTCGAAAAAATGATTTCGGTGATTTCGAGGTGATTTCGAGGGTCATGGACGGTAATTTCATGATTTCGAATGATTTCATTAATTCGAAATTAGTGATTTCAGGAAAATAAAGTTAATAAATAATAGAGGTAATAATAGAGGGGCAAAACTGGTTGTGTTAAATTATGAAAATCAAAACTAACAATATTAACTGACAAATAATAACGAATTCGTTTGATCCAGCGGTCCATTTTACCATTTTACTATGACAGTGAGTACGGCACTTTATTATTATCGTTGGCAGATGTGTCAATTTCAAAATCACGAATTACTTACACGGTTCGTACTACGCCAGGCCACTACTGATTCCGGTGATTTCATTGATTTCAGAGGATTTCACGTGATTTCAGAGATGATTTTGAAAATAACTTCAGTGATTTCAATGACTTCACGTGATTTCGGAGTGATTTCGAAATGATTTCATACCAGAGTGGCGTCGTGATTTCGGAAGTGAGTAGCCCCTCGGACAAAAAGGTTATGAAATTTCAAGTTTTAAGAAGAATTCACGGAAATTCATAAGTTTTCAGTGAGAGTGAGATGGAAATTTCACAACTTGATTGAATTTTCAGTGGAACATGAATATTCAGAAAAAAAATGACCTAAATTTTCAATTTTTCCCTGAATTTGCCTGATTTTTCTGAATTTTCACAGAATAATTGAACTGAAAAATCTAGTACTTTATTGATTTTCAGATCAATTGAACAGAAAATCAATGAAATATTTGATTTTTCAATGACAATATTTCCTGAAATTTCAGGGGCAAGTTCCACTAATTTTTCCACTAATTATTCTAATTTGTTTTGCACTAATTATTCGCTTTTAGACACATATAATCGATCTTCAAGGCATGAGAAATCTCATTCTAGTAGCTCGCTCCCCTTGAAAGCTCTCAAACGACTGGATATAATCCAACGGATGGGCCGACGGTTTTACCTGAAAACGACCGACTAGTTGAGTTATGTTTTTAGCGGGTCGTGATTTCAAGCACTTCACCATCTTCTTGGTACTATCTGTTGGACATTCCAGCAGAGATCCCACTTTCTTCCCCTTCTCAAGACTACCTTCAGTCTGCGCCCAATTATCGAGGGCTGTACCACTGAATGACATTCCACCTGCACGAAGAAAAAAGTTATAGAAAAAGTTGGACTATTCCTTTTTATCTGTCATTTATTTT